AAATTATTATTTTTTTTAAATACGGCATGTGTACGTACCATTTGTATGCGGATGATACTCAGATCTGTTTGTCTATGAGAGTGGGAGAGAACAACGGTTCTAATTAGCTATTTGCGTGCCTGGAGGAGGTTAAGAGCGGGGTGACTCAAAATCTGCTTCAGCTTCAGATTATGGTTTTTGGCCCTGCCAGAGGATGTTTAGATATGTCCACATATTTGGGCTCATGGTCTAATTATTGCCGTGACCAAATAAGGAACTTAGGCGTGGTGTTTGACCCAGGTCTGTCTGTCTGTCTATCTGTCTGTCTGTCTGTCTGTCTGTCTGTCTGTATCTATAACACATTTCTGTCTGTCTCAGTACGCCGCCAGCTGTAGTTCAGAGATGCTGTCGGGTCTCTGCGGCTGATTCTGGTGTTTCTCTGTGAGTCTGTGTTAGTTTCTTTCTCTGGGTTCGATCAGTGCAGGTATTTCTGACCCACTGGCGCATTCAGACACTCATAAATATTAAAGGGTTAGTTCACCCAAAAATGAAAATTAGCCTGTGTTTTACCTCAAGCCATCCTAGGTGTATATTCAATATTCAATATATATTCATAAATTATTATTTTTTTTAAATACGGCATGTGTACGTACCATTTGTATGCGGATGATACTCAGATCTGTTTGTCTATGAGAGTGGGAGAGAACAACGGTTCTAATTAGCTATTTGCGTGCCTGGAGGAGGTTAAGAGCGGGGTGACTCAAAATCTGCTTCAGCTTCAGATTATGGTTTTTGGCCCTGCCAGAGGATGTTTAGATATGTCCACATATTTGGGCTCATGGTCTAATTATTGCCGTGACCAAATAAGGAACTTAGGCGTGGTGTTTGACCCAGAGCTGAAATTTGACAAGCAGATTAATGCTGTAGTAAAGACTTGTTTTTTCCAGATTAGGTCTGTTGCTCGTTTAAAGCCTATTCTGTCAAGAAAAGACTTAGAGAAGGTTATTAATGCCTTTGTTTTGTCTCGTTTGGATTATTGCAATGTGTTGTATGTGGAGTCCTGTCGGACCACTATCTCACGCTTGCAATTAGTTCAGAATGCAGCATGTTTCAATCGAACTGAGTTCATTCTGACTGATGAATCTGAATGTAGTGTTTACATGAACACTAAATAAAGTGATCGGGTTGCTGTGTGTGTTTATATTTCACAAGCTTCAATTGATTTTTGACATGCGCACACTGCACGCATATAGAAAGTTTCCTGCTGTTTGCACATAATAACCATTCTCCTACACGGTTTCTTTATTTGTTTCGAACAGCAGAATTAATATTTATCAATTTCTGGTCAGAACTTGGCGACAATGAGCATATAAACCGCTGTGTTGTGCTGCTTATATTTATCACGCAGTAAAAATGCTCCCTAAAACCAGAATCCGAAACAAGAACTGCACCATTTTACAAACGCTGAGTGAAAGTAGAGTTTTATAATGAACTTACATGCATTTATACAACACTTAAAGGGGTGCTTCTCTCAAGTGGCTACCAGTGAACTACAGGATAAAATATAAAACTCTTCTGTATGTTTTTAAAGCAGTGCATGGGCTGGCCTCTGCTTACGTGACTGAGCTCCTTGCTGTTCGTCAAGCACCTAGGTCTCTAAGATACAATAATAAGTTATTGCTTACTGTCCCTCGTACTCATTTAAAGTTAAAAGGGGATCAGGCCTTTGCTGTTGCGGGGCTGAAGCTCTGGAATAGTCTTCCTCAGGAACTTAGAGAAGTCTCATCTTTGAATGTTTTTAAAGTTGAAGTCAAAAACGACTTCTTGTCTTTAACCTTTGAGAGGGTGGGCTAGTCTTTGTTGTTAGTAGGATCTGTGTTGTTTTAAGTCGTGTATTTTAATGAAGTGTTTTATTTTTTGATTGTACAGCACTTTTGTCTGCAGGTGCAGTTGTAAAGTGCTCTATAAATAAAGTGAATTAAATGTATATGACTGTCTTCTTTCAGACAAATGCAATCCGAGTTATATTAAAAATTGTCCTGGCTATTCCAAGCGTTATCATTGCAGTGGGTGGCTTTTCCAGGGTTTTCATTTGAGTGGGTGTTTTTTTTTTTTTTTAACAGTACAAAACACATCAAATAAAGCGCACGCATCCATAATAAAACGTGCCTCACATGGCTCCGGGGCGTAAATAAAGGCCTCCTGTAGAGAATCCATGCATTTTTGTAGAAAAATATCCATATGTGTCCCTGCAGCACAGAAGCAGTGTTGAGTCGCTGGGGGATATTTGTAGCAATAACCAACAATACATTGTATGGGTCACAATTATACATTTCTCTTTTATGCCAAAAATCATTAGGATATTAAGTAAAGATCATGTTCCATGAAGATATTTAGTAAATCTCCTACCGTAAATATATCAAAACTTAATGTTTGATTAGTAATATGCATTGCTAAGAACTTCATTTGAACAACTTTAAAGATGATTTTCTCAATATTTAGATTGTTTTGCACCCTCAGATTCCAGATTTTCAAATATTGTGCTATCCTAACAAACCATACATCAATGGATACCACAGTTAGATGAAGTGAGAGAAAAGTGTGTATGACGTTTGAAATATGGATATTTTTCTTACAAAAACACATGGATTCACTACAGGATGCCTTTATTCACTCCCCGGAGACGTGTGAGGCACATTTTATTATGGATGTGCACGCTTTATTTGACGTCTTGTGGACTGTTAAAAACACCCACCCACTGCAATGATAGTGTCAGACGCTGTTCCGGGTTTTTTGTGTGTTTTGCTCCTCATGTGCTTCCATTCCCACATTTGCTCTTCCTGTTCCTGCTCCTTGATTGTTTCCAATTTGATTCCAGGTGTGTCTGGTCTTCCCCTGATTAAGTTGTGTCCTTAAGAAGTGTTTTGTTCAGAGTTCTTTGTCCGGTATTGATCGTCTATCCCCGTGTCTTACGTGTGCTTTCCATGATGTAAATAAAGTCTGTTATTCTGGATTCTCCCTCGTCTCCTCGTTCCTTCACAGCGATCGTGACAGACAGAGCTTGGAAGAGCCAGGAAAATTTTTCATATAACTCCGATGTTCACATCTAGGATGCCTCAAGGGTGAGTAAAACACAGGCTAATTTTCTTTTTTGGGTGAACTAACCCTTTACGGTCTGGTTTTTGTCAAATTGCCGCAGCGTCTCCCGTGTCTTCAGTTTCAGATGTAGATGATGGCTGACCCTGATGACGTGTCCTGCACATTACGCTGTCAGACTGATTTCAGTTCATAATGCATTCGCTCGTCTGCGTCTCATTGTTGACGTTTGACCGGCTGTCAGGCGGTTCTGCTCCTGCCCTCGTCTCTTTGTTTGTCACTTCCGCTGCTCTGAAATTGAAACTAATGACATTTTAATTGTCCTGAACAGGGAAGATGATGAAATTGTGGGTTACGTATGAGCTGTCCCTCAGAAATCAGACGGACGCTTCTCCGTCCATTCCATGGTTTTTACTTCAGTACGGAATTTAATGTCTGTTCACATTCACATTTATGCTTTCAACAATTGATGCTTTTAAACCAAGAGAGAAAGAAACCTCAGTGACGTCACTGTAGTTAGTTAGAACACAAATGGTTATTATATATTTCATGTACTTGATATAAACAGCTGTCGGAATGCTGTTTCTCCGTTCTGTTCCTGTAAGAGTCAATAAATGCATGTGTTTTGTCATGTAAACACGGCCCGGGTCATTGCAGTCTATCAGTCTTTCGTCTGGTTCACGGTTAACAGAGCCGTCCAGAAATCTTCACACGTGGCCTTTCAGGGAAATGTCAGTGAGTTTCCCGCCAGAGTTTTCACTTCATCGCCTCTGCGTCGCTCTCTGGTCCTTCTCAACATCTCACCGAATCAATGCTTGATTGATAAAGCATCTTTGACGCTCATCAGCGGAGCTTCTGTTTCAGTGAATGAAGACGTTAGCCAGCGCTGGAACGCTGCAGTTAAACACACAGTTATGAACCTTGTTCTGGAGAGAGATTTTAACTGTGAGCAGAAGCATTCATAGATATTCAGGCATTACATGTTCTGTGAATTGGAAATCATCGTGTGTTTATTCATCACTCATACTGATGCTTTCTGTTTACTGTAGTAAAACGAGCATCTCTTGGGATCCTGTAAATGTTGCTAATTAGGACTCAACAGGAGTAAATGAGCGTGAGATGTTTACCTGCTATTGTAGATGGTATACGTGATGTTTGTGATCATTTCTATCCTGCGGTGTGATGTGTTAGACTCTGTATTTACAGCACCTGCAGATAAACACTTGACATTCAGATGCGTTTGAAATCTTGAGGTCTGCACAGCGTCCATTTGAACCCGTTCTCAGCAGCTACGCTTACATGACACTAAATAATCAGATTGATCACTCTCAATCAGACTGAAAAGCCTTCATGGAAACACTTCAGTTCCCAATTAAATTTCCATCTGATTGAAAGTGTTGCTGTAGACCTGAAATTGTTATAAATTGTGTAATTAATAATTCAGAGTCCGACTATTTTCCTAATGAGATTCAAAAATATGTTTATGCATGTTTTTTTACATCTCACATCTCATTCAATGTTTTGGAGATGGAACAGTTACTAAATATTTGCTAAAAAGCTCTTCTGATATGTTTGCCAGAAGTAATAATTGTAAAAATAATTTTACATTATTATTTTTTTGTTAGCAGGGCAAGCGTTAGTTTTACTCGCAGTTGCTCCGCTGACCGTGTCGCGGTGTATTTCTCCGGTTCTGTGCATGCGCTGAAGTTTTGTTCTGAATACATATGTAATATATATGTAATGCACATGTAAAAGAATATGTGAATCTGAATTAAACATTTAGGGTTTATATACTGAACCAGACCTCGGCTCACGACCCAGATGCACACTCACACTATTAGCTTGATTAGCACTTAACGAGCTGATTGGTTAAAGATAATTAATACCTTTGTGTCAAGTGGAGTGATTCTAAATGGGAAAATGTGATTGGACCCTGCGGGTGACATGGGTTATCGTTGACTTCACCTCGTTAACGAACTTTATTCCTGGTAATTTACATCATTTTGTACGCTGAGCTTTTACATCGTCGTTTAACACCTGGCGAGTGTGAAATCAGGGAACCTGTAATCTGTCACCACACGTCTGATTCACAGCGATGTCCGCTTCTGGCTTTTACCATCAAATCAACGCTTCTTAAAGAAACTCCATGTAAAGTCGTGTCAGAGAACTTCCGCTTGCAGACAGGAAGTGGCTTTGATGAAGTGCGTCTGACCTGGAGACTAAACATGGAAATGTGAGATGTTAACAGGCCACATACACACACAGTTATGTTAATGAGAACGGCTGAATAATCAACTAAACGAGTATTCATTTGAATATTGTCTGCGACAGATAAGAGCTCGGCAGCCGGTCACATGCTGTTTCATCGGTCAGGAAGAGCAAAACACCATCACCTGTGTGTGTGTGTGTATGAGTGAGTGCGTGTGTTAGTGACTACGTGTGTATGATTGAGTGAGTGTGTGTATGAGTGAGTGTGTGTGTGTGTGTGTGTGTGTGTGTGTGTGTGTGCACAAGTGAATGTGTGTGCGGGCAAGTTAGTGTGTGTGCTATTGAGTGTATGAGTAAGTGTGCATGCTTTAGTGAGTGTCTGTGCGCGAGTGAGTGGGACTGTGTTTGTGCGTGTTAGTGTGTGCAAGTGATTGTGTATGTGTGTTTATAAGTGTGCATGTTAGTGAGTATGTGTGTGCGTGTTAGTGTATATGTGAGTGTGTGTGTGTGTAAGGTTATTTTGTTCCTCACTTCTACACACACATAGAGACTCACGACAGACACACACTCACTCACACAAACACACTCTCATCCTGAGCACACCATCAGCAGGCCTTCCCACAAACCTCGTCTCTAATCATTTGACCTGCAGTGTTTATGACGGTCTTACTGATTACACGTCTGAAGTTACATTGAGCACACATAAATGACCTCAGTGACCTCGAATCAGAGCAGCGCTGTGACCTCTGACCTCACATTTACGTCATTCACGCCTGCTGATTATCGTTTTGTTTCCTTTATCACGGATTGATTATTGATTGGCTTTATTCCCAAAATACCCCGCTTTGATTCCCCTACCGTCAAACGCGGGGTTCTTGTTCCTCTGAGGTGTATTTGCTGCAGTGTGCTGTCAGACGCAGCTGTTCTGAGGGAGGAAAAACTGAGAAGCACTCCAATGAAGAGGGCTTCTGACCGATCGCAGTCCTTTAACATAAAGCCAATATTTCACCCAAAATTGTTTTCAGTTTCATTGATCATGTGATGAGTCGATTCTCAGGTGTTTGTTCACACATATTGCCAAATCATTAATTTTTTCCATCTTGCTTTGGAAGAAATGTGTTGCATGCTGGATATGATTAAAAGACGTGTGTGTCGTCATCTTTGTACTTTATTCATTATTATAATGGAGAATCCAACAGGGTTCAGTTTTTATTGTGATCATGAACTTTGTGTCCAACAATAAATCATTAGAGCAGATTTGAATGTTTTTCTTCCATAACATGTAGAAGATGCTTTGTGTTAATTTGTGTGTGTTTGAACTGATTTTATAAAAACATGATTTTTCAAAATGAAGCCAATGTTCATGAAAATAAAAGCGATTGTAAATCATGATCTTTTATCGGCTGATGTTCTTTTTGTAAAATTTCTGAAGTTATGAAACAAGAAATCTATAGTTTAGAAATAAATGATTCTTATAAAATATTTTGACATTGTTTGTACTGTGACACTCCTAAGTAGCATAATCAGTATCCATGATAACCATATCAGTAATATGCCAGAAATTAGAAAATTATGTGGATATAAAAGAACTCGATGAGTTTCAGCATGTTTGTGTTTGTGCGTGTTTGCGCATGTGTGAGTGTGTGTGTGTGTGTGTGTGTGTCTGTGAGAGTGAGTGTAAAAATTTGTGTGTGTGTGTTTTTGAGTGTGTATCTGTGTGTGTTTTTGAGTGTGTGTGTGTGTGTGTGTGTGTGTGACGTCAGTCCGAGTCTGTATAAAGTCTGCGCGAGCTGATGGAGAATCATCAGAAAGCAGCGGCTCGAGGAACTCGCAGTGTTTTCTCATAAGCTCGTGTTAATGTTGTGTGTGAAGATGTTTGGAGTGCTCTCGGCGCTTCTGCTGGTGTGTGTGTGTGGGGTGTGTGTGCGCGGGAGCGAGGATTTACCGAGAGACTTCGGAGTGAAACTGTGCGGCCGCGAGTTCATCAGAGCCGTGATCTTCACCTGCGGAGGCTCCCGGTGGAGGAGGAGCGCCTCTCAGCCCGGTACTGCTCACCTTCATCATCATCACCTTCATCATCATCATCACCTTCATCATCATCACCTTCATCATCATCATCACCATCTTCATCACCTTCATCATCATCATCATCACCTTTATCATCATCATCATCATCACCTTCATCATCATCATCATCACCTTCATCATCATCATCACCATCATCATCACCTTCATCATCATCATCATCATCATCACCTTCATCATCATCACCTTCATCATCATCATCATCACACTAGACAGCATGTACCAGAACACCAACGTCATCACAGTTTGTACTTCCAGTCATCATCCTGCCTGGTTATTATAATCTTACAAAAACTAAAAAACTTCAAATATAATATATTTAATATAATATAATATATGAAATATATAGACTACATATATCAAACTTAAACGTTTTATTTCAGCTAAGCAACATTTCTGACTTGCATTTAGTTTAGTGATGTTCTAGAAATTACTAAAACGTGAAATTAATGGAATAAAACAGGCCTAATAGAAACTATAGACAGATAAAAGATAAAACGAATAAAAATGACAACAACAAAAAACAATTACTAAAACTTTAAAATGTAAAAGGAAAATACAAAAATAAAAACTAATTTAAAATGTTATAAAGCTATAATAGTATCTCAGTGATACTAAAATAACAGCCTGCTACAAAACCACCACATTACTTACACTTCATCATCATCATCATCATCATCATCATCAATAACTGCTTGCTTGTTTAGAACCATAACAATTCAAAAGAGGAGCGATTTGAAGTACTAGCTTATTTAAATATCTCAATGTGCATTTATTACAAGAAAAAACTCCATCAAGCAACAGAAATGATTTATTTGCTCGTCGGTCTGTTTCAGATCTAGCCTCATTCATGGATCAAAACACAAGAATATGAATTCCAGAGCGATGAGCTCTATTATTAATACGAAACAACTAATACAAGACAAACCTGTAAATGAAAATAATGTCAGGAATTAGCTAATGTCACTATTCACAGCTGTTTGATTAGAAAATCTATATTTTAATCACTTATTATTAAACGTGCTGAATAGAGTTATCTCAAATCATAAACCGATATATTTCTCAATCATCAGACTGAAGCATGATGGGAAGGGTCGTGCTCATGTAGTGTGTGTGTCTGTGTGTGTGTGTGTGTGTGTGTGTGTGTGTGTGTGTGTCTGTGTGTGTCTGTGAGTGTGCGTGTGTGTGTCTGTGAGTGTGTGTGTGTGTGTGTGTGTGTGCGTGTGTGTGTGTGTGTGTGTGTGTGTGT